TCTAAATAAAACTCCATATAAATAAACACGAAAAACATTACAATCTCGTAATTAATTTTTCAGTAAATCATCCTAGCACATTAAATGCGAATGGGTGCAGTTTTGTACTGACCTGAATGGCCGTTGCACTAAAATTCAAATGAATAAAAACTATTATTGCTATTTACATCCATTGCGACGATTTCTTGCGACGAATTCCGTCAAAATTATTTCAATGTATCGGCTTTAAATTTTGGTAAAACTACAAATACTCAACCACCATTAACTTTTCCAGTGCAATTATTATTAATGCCGTGTTTAAAATGGCATCAAATCTGCTGTGAATGCACAATTAAAAATGTATTTGTAATAAACAACAAAATTCATACATGAAACGGCAAGAATTCCATTTATGTACCTAGTTTATGCGTACAAATATTTCATTCTGAATACTGCTTGTAATGAATTTGTTATTGCAAGTGCCCTAGTGTTCGATATTTAGCTATAATATCGTCGTAATATCAATAACTAAAGCGGATACACTGACACTTACAAAGCTTAGTTGAAAAGTGCTCCAGAACAACCTCGAATTCGCGAATCCTCTAAAACGACGCATCGTTAATCGTGTAGTTTTGTATTACGGTGAAATAAATTGTTGCGTTTTACCCACGCCGATTTTTATACCCGATCAACGTAGCACTATATTTAAAATTAGGCAACGTTCTACCACATACTTTTTTTGTTGTAACAAATTGTTTCGTCAACCATGTCGAATAGTTATCACATCCAATATTTACTTTCATTTATCAGTCAAATAGGTGTAGTACACTTGAAAGCAATTCTGAATATTTTACCAGAATGATACTTTATTATTCTCTGTCCGCCGCTTTCTAGCAGAAAAAGCTCGTCGTAACTAGTAACATTGATTTTTACAAAACGAGATATTAAGTTTTTAAAATAAATTTTAAATTTTCATTAGTGGAGCTTTTAAATTAAACCACTGTTACTGAGAATATTGTAAAACTTTCAGGACTCAGAAAAGTAATTAATTCCGTATCAACATTGTACTTATTAGTTTAACGTTCCAATTTGTTATAACGTTTCTTTGGCTTTAAAAATATAAAGCATTTATTGTGTCATAATTTTAAATTTTTAGAAAACATTCTGTCTGTCCGTCTGTCTGTCTGTCTGTCTCCATTTTTATCAGACACGTAATTTCCGAAACTGCTGGACCGATTGTTGTCAAATTTTGTATGTATGTTAGAAATATCATATAGATACTTAAACGCTAACCAAAATTTGGCTAATCATCCCCACCAACAATTTGATGACGTCATCTCAATGAACCGTATTTTAAAATGCGTTGAATGTTATACAAAAATACTTGTACACTTATAGTCAATAATGGTCAAATTTTCGCAAAAACAATTGCAAGGTATAATAACGTTATCTTTGTTTTTTTTAAATATATAGAGTTTTCTTTCAACAACAGGAAAGTTAAACATGTTTTCAATTTCTTGTTGGGAAAAGAAGACGTATATTAAGAAAAAATGGACAAAATATAAGCCCCGCCCACCCACCCGTTCTCAATTGTGATGAATGTTTTATTCATCATGAGTTGACAAGAGGAATTTAATTTGCAAAATCCTTATTTCTCTAAAAGAAATTATCATATGAAATATATTTTTAAAGGGGTAGATTTTTTTTTTGAAATATTAATGTAAAAACATATTTCATATGACAATTTCTTGTAGAGAAACGAGGATTTTGCAAGTAAACTTCGCCCCTCGGTCTGATTAGGAATGAACGACTCGTCACAATTGAGATCGGGTGGGTGGGTGGGGAAAATTGAAAAAATTGAAATTGAGAAAACAAAAAATTATAAAATCGGAACATTGAAAACTTGTAAAAATAAAAAAAATAAAAAACTGAAACGAAAAATTGCACATGGAAAAATTAAAAATTGAAAACTTGGGAAACTCAAATTGAAAAATTGCAAAATCTAGAAATTGAATTGAAAAGTTGAAAAATTGAAAAATTTTGACTTGAAAACTAAAAAAAATGCAATAAGGAAAAAAAATTAAAAATTGAAGAAAAAATTCAAGTCAAATAAGCTGCGGGAGCGTTATTTACGCTACTGGTTTTCACTTTATAGAGGTTATGAGAAAACAAAAATCGCAAAAAAAATGATAATTTTTCTGAGAAGTGGGATTTATTTGACTGCACTTCAGGGGCGAGGGAAGTTCTGTTTAAATAACATTCGACCAATTTTTTTAGTTTTTTTCTGAGCGTGAGTTAAAGAAGTATTGTAATCCACTGAACGATTGACGACTTTTATGTTTTCTTGAAAATAATCATGAAAACGTCTAGAGTACGAAAAAGTAGGTATCCCGTTTCCGTCTGTCAGTCTGTCGTCTGTCCGGACTTTATTAGATAGATAATGTCGAAACTACTGAACCGATTGTAGTCAAAATTTGTATGTATATTAGGAATATCGTCTAGATCGTAAAACGCTAACCAAAATTTGAATAATCGTCCCCACAAATCATAGGATGACGTCATCTCCAAAATTTACATTATTAAATGTTATTTCAATTTTATAAAATAAGATGCTCCTGCACGTATGGTTTACAAATCCGTGTTAAATTTTTACCCTAAACTTCCAAATTTTTGAAAAAAAAAAAATCAAAATTTTATAACATTTTGCAATTTAACTTTGAATCTATAAAACCGAATAATATGAAATCTTGCAAATATTTAAAGATTATCGTAAGCTTGGTAAATCATTAAGCAAAATGTTTGCGTTTATACGCACCCACAAAAAGTGATGACGTCATTTTACAATTTTGCCGAATAAATTTTCTCAAAATTTTATACAATTACATATAGTGGACCAAAAGGTATAAGGTTATATGGCCATCATAAACTCATCCCATTGTGTCCAAATTAAGTTGTTTACAATAGAAAAGGTTTTAGGGTCGTAAATAACGTGTCCACTGCAGCTCGACCGGCTGTTGTGGTTTCGTTCAGGGACGGCTTTCACTAATATGAAAATCCACCACTCCACTATTTCTTTACTACCTGCAGCCGCTGAGGGTTCCGAAATAACCACTCGCTTTGAAAGCCGGCCCTGTTAAATGTGAGCAAGAAATGTTTAGAAGACGATTTATTGCCAACCCGTAAGCTTAGTGCGAACCACACAAAGGGGGTATTTATTTGCGGTCAACTACTTTTATGATGGTCATATAACCTTATACCTTTTGGACAAGTATACTTCTACATGTGTGATTTATGAATACGTCTCGAGTTTTTACCCTAGATATACAGACTTTTGAGAAAAAAATCAAAATTGTACAACAACATTTTACAATTTTATTTTGAATTGTCAAACCAAATTCTTTGAAAATGTGCAAGCCTTTTCAGGTTATCGTAATCATAGTAAACCGGTATTCAGGCCTCCCAAAAATATGATGACGTCATCCTACAATTCTAGCGAATAATGATTTTTTAAATTTTATAAAATAACATTCTTCTCATTAATAATTCAGCTTCTCGGGGAGATTAACGTGTAATTTTTAATAACACGTAAATGTGCTCACTGCGCTCGCATTCGTGGTGTTCGTTTCTACAATAATAAATCGTCGCTATGGTTACTTTCCAAAATCAGTCTATCTTAGCAAGTGCTACCACTGCCCACCCACCTTTTATTTTCTTAGAGGATGTCATTTACCAAAATTAGTCTTATCATGATAAGTGCCAGCCCCGCCCACCCGCCCTTTACCCTCTTAGCGAATATATGATTTACCAAAATCACTCTATCTTAGCAAGTACTAGAATCTGTATTGAGTTTTTATCCAGGATCCAGATTTTTCGAAAAAAATCAAAATTTTACAATTTATCTTTGAAACTGGAAAAACGCAATGCTGTGAAATCTTGTAAATATTTTAAAGTTATTGAAAGCGTAATAAATCGTTAATTAAAACTTGTCCGTCATCTTACAATTTTGCCGAAATTATGAGTGTTTTGGGAAAATACTGAGTGTCGTTAATTAATTAATCAGTCCTCTCTTCTGCGTTGGGGAGACAAAATCGATCAAATTTCATTATCTTATAACCGCTGACGCGTCTAGTCTGAACATGCTAATAGCCAAATTCTTTGGAAGTCTAAACATAAACAATCGAAGTTAAGGATGTACTGAGTAATTGAGAATATGTAGTTTTTCTGTTAGTTATTTGATGGTGGGCTGCGAGGTTATTAATTACGATATGCACCTCTAGTAGAACCAACTATTTTTCACAGATTGCTGATAAGGATGTTGGTAGAGACAAGGACGACGTTAATAGTTCGCTTTGTGGAACTAATTATAGTAACTCTTTTTTATTTGACTGTTTGGTTGTTTGCAAGCTAAAATTTCGATCTTCGGGTCTATTTACTTCTAAATTTCCAAGTACGCAATTTTCAGAGTGCATCATATCGATTTGAGTCTGGTTGCAATAAATATGCATTTAAAATACAAACAAAACACTTCTAATCACTAAAATCACTGTGTGGATAATCGCTTAAAAAAATCTAAAAGTTTCCGAAAGTTACTAAAAAAAAAAAAAACAGAAGGATTTGAGTGATAGACTTCCCATTAAAGTAACGACAACTAATGAAGATAAAGTGCTAAGTTCATATATCTTTTGAAGAACTTTGAAACCTACTTATGCTCTTGAGTAAATTAAGCAAAATTTTCAATTTACATTCTTTGCGTGTTACGCGATCAACCGAGTGAAGCGCGGCAAGTTTCAGGTTGTGTGTTTTAATATTTTTGGCGTATAACAACGAAGGTAAATGCGAGGTGTTCGAGGGTGAACGAGCAACGGTGCAAGGTGCTATCGTTGTTGTGCTGGTGCTCAGTGCTGTGGTGCCGTGCGGGTGCAGTGCTCGGTGCATTAGTGCTCCGCAATCTGATCGCCTACTCAGATTTGCAGTCAGATTGCGGTCACGTGGGTGCAGTAGTATATAGTTTGGATACACACCCTGGCTGTGGCGAGATCCCCACTCACCCTGTATCCCCCCAGATTATTTACCACACAGGTAAAAGTGGCATCGCGTCCCTGGGCCACCGTGATGTTCTCCAGCGGGTAGAGGAAGTCCGGCTCGAAGCCAGAAACTCCTGTAACATATCATCACATACAATAAACCTCACACATGACATGCATAACAATTCACTTATAATATTTAAGCAAGATAAGGAAGCTCTAAGCTCTTACTACCCCAACGCTCCTTGTATGTTAAAATTTAATTATTAATTAATTCCACCTAAAGCCAAGCTGAACTGCAACCCAAACCGTTTCGCCTAAACTGTCTCTTATCAACAGTTTTAATAAATGACGATATTCCGCAAAGGAATGTGCATAGTCCTCACATTTGGGCATACCGACACGATTTTTATTCCTGAATAGATATGGAACGTTGCCAGTCACGTTTTAACCCAACTCTTCACCTATCAGATTTATTTTCTTTCGTATTTATTAACCTAGAATTTTGTAAACAAACATTTCGTGCACTGACCCTAATGTAGTCAAAACATTTTACTTGCTATATCATATTTTTATGTGCACAAGTGCGGACAACTTGACATACACATAATGAAGACGACCGATGGAAAAAAAGTGTATTCTCCATTTCTCAGAACATGCTTAACTTCGATTGTTTATGTTTGCACTTCGAAAAAATTCAACTATTAGCACGCAACGGAAAGGACTATTTAATTAACAACGTCACTTTGAACTATTGTACATTAAACATATTTTAAATTACATAAAATAATAAACACAATTACACACTTGTGCTTTATGAATCTGCTTTATTTTTGTTTTTTTGTCAATTTGAGGAGAAGTTTCACGTTAAATATTGGTTAATAAATATTTAGCAATAAATTTCACATACATATTGTATTAGAATTGAGATTATAACTTGAGGTTTTGTTGTGTTAAATGTATGTTGTTACATTTTTGTTTAACAACTGAAGATGCCTTATCGATAAATCGAAACTGGTCGTCAAGTGAGTGTAAACGAAAGTTCGTGAACGATCCATAAATCTTTGATTGTCGCGGAAGTTGGTGGCAACGACGTGGTTTAAATCTGTGTATCGAGTAAAGCCACAGGCATTTAAAAGCTAAAACACGCTCACAATTTCTTGTTTAATCAACCTCGTCACTATGGAACCATATAATTAGAAACGTCACCATAATCCAAGATATTCCATTTCGAAACATACAGCATTGTCGAAGTGAGTTTTTTCTTTACACAATTTTGTTATCCACATTTTTGCAAGGACACATATGACAACTTTTTTTGGGGTGGTGTCATCAATTTTTTAGGGGGGATGAGCAATTACATTTTGATCAAAAATTTACCATGCCTATGATAAGTTTAAAATATCTCCAATATAAATACAACGGACATTACTGTTTAAAAAAATCCGGGACGGCAGACGGACAGACGGACAGACAGACGGAAACGGGAGACCTATTTCTTCGTCCTCTAGGGGTCACGAAAGGTCGAGAAAACGTAAAAGTAGAGAGTCGGCTTACGTTTAATAAATGGAACAGTTGCTTTACTGTAAAACGTGTAAAGTAAATTTACTTGGGTAATTCTCGGGTCAATAAATAAAAACTTGCTACTACTACTTAAAGCATTCGCCAAGGTTCTCAAGTGGGTCCAATTCTTTTATTCTTAAGTATTGAATATTCAGTTTTGGCATTGTAGACGTAACGACTTAAAAATATAAAAACTTGACAATCGTAAATGTGATGTTTTAGAATCTCTAGAAACACACGTTAATTAAATATTTGTAAATATCAAGCGCGTAAAAATTGTTTCACATACAACAAAAAAAAGCAATTTAAATAATGCAGGATTTTACGTTTGATCAGCACTCGCGCTAACCTTGCTTTCGCTAAAACGTAAACGATAAAATTTTAAACTGACATTTAGAATTTACATGCGTTATAAAGCCGAGTTTTTAAAAATGAGGTGTAAATGTAGACATTTAAGCTCCCTGAAAATAGCGGATCAATTTAATTAGTGAGAAAACAAAACAAACTTTTTAACTGAATTAATTTCATGAATTACAAATTTCTTACACAATGTACAATGATGTGGCTGTCATGCCAACGTCACGCACTTATTATGATAAATACTCTTTATATTTGTAAGCAGAGAAAAACAAAATTTTACAATATGTGGGATGTTGTTTTCGTAAATAGTGTTTTTTGAGTGGTGTATTAATAACATTATTAATCGGATTGGTTCTAACTCTATCAAAAAACTTCTGAATAAGAAGGGTTACATTATCCATCCCCATTACTGTAATTAATTTTCCTCGCAGCAATTCGCTATTTATGCACGGTGTTGCTTTACAATTAATTCAAAACGTAAATACGATGCTTTCACTATTCCAATTTATGAGACATATACCTCCTCAGAATTACTTGTAAACGAAGTCAGATTCTGCTCCACTTTTATAATCTAATAAAAATGTTACATTTCGTTTTAATAAAATGCGGGCATACATCAAAAACATGTTTTTAATATATCACGTAAAATCTCATTAGAGTGGACATCGCGGAATTTCCAGCGTATTTATACACTCCACATCAGGAATAGAGAAAAATTTGAAAATGTTGCCGTTTGACAAGTCCGTTTTGTGTAACTTAGGGCTTTCCAATTTTCGCCGTCCCCTACGGGAGCAATAAAAACTTGTTTGAACATAATTTAAAAAAAATGTTTCACATTTTCATTAAAACTCTGCATTGTAGATGCGTCTCTTATGCAGATTAATATTCTAAACCATTTTTGTACTTAACGTTTTGCTTTAAAAGCTGTATTCAGACGTAGTGTCAACAGTAAGCGTTCACTTTGCTCAAGAGATACGACACACCGAACACCTGTTCTCTGTAGGATTCGCAGCATAATAAAACAACACTGCAAATACGCCGGAAGATTTAACACGAAAACAATTTTTCGCTACCTCAGAAACGCTATTCAAATAGAGCACAAGGTCTGGATAGTAAACAAGAATATTATAGATGAAAACATTTAAAAAACACGTTTTCAATTTCTTAAGAGTAGCATTGATAACAAAAACAATTACATGAAAAACTTAACGAAATAAATACTGTATAAAAAAAATTGGTCCGTTACAAAATTGTAGATTATAGCGATAACGCTTGTCGAGCTGCACACGTGAGAGTGAAACGGAGAAACTAAAATCAACGATATTTTATTTTGATTTTCGATGTCGTAATTCACATTTGTTTAATTATAACTTGTCTGGGTCATGAAACGTTGAGAAAATATGAAAGCTATTGTTTCTAGCTAATATTTAAGCGTAAATGGGGGAGAAATCTGTCTAAATAGCGAGCAAATGATCGCGATGTTATATTAATAAAACCCGAACACATCGTATAGTGTAATTACCCCACTACATTCCTCTTCCCTTCATTGTTAATATTTGGAATAGCACATGTTTTAATGGCAAGTGTAATTTATGTTGATGACATCATAAACATTTAACAACGCCACCGAGGTCTCTGGAACCTAGCCCACTCGAAAATTTAGAAGTTATTAGAGTAATGACGACTATCCGTAATTTTAAATCAATAATCCATATTAGTTTTCACGAGCGTTGCATTTAATTGATATTAAATAACTCGGAGTAGAAACGAAGTTTTAGTAAAAAAATTCTTGATAAAAAGCTTCGGATTTTATTGTCACTAAAGCGACGATAGCGATAATCGTAAAGTTTTATTTATATTGCTAGTAATATAAACAAAATAATGTGATTTTTATTTAATGCAGTCTAGCACGTTTACGAAATCAGATTGTTGAACAACAACCTCCCAAAACCAAACACAACAAATGATCTCAAACTTTCTCTGAAGTTTCAAGGAACTTCTCAATATATTTCTTACTTCTCTCTAGATTAAGTCAAGATCGTTTACGGAAGCTAAACGTCAAAGTATCTGTGCTTTCGCACTTAATTGCCATGTATAGCGAAGTATTATTGTGAGCGGACATGTAACATCGACTGCTTTTACGTAGTACATTTAGATTTGCCGATATGATTTATGTTGCAAACATTTGTTAAAATTCAAGTGATGTATGTTTATTTACTATAATTTATCGTCTGCACGGTGCACTCTCATTCTGCAAATTGATAGAGCGAAGCTTAGTGCAACACTTTGTCAAAAAGCTTTTGAAAAATTGAAAGCTCGACATTAAAAATTAATTACAATAAACCGGATTACTGAAAGTACGTGGATTTATTATAAAACAATTATTTTGAATTAGTGCGAACGGCACATCTGAGATCCATTCACAAAATACTCCCTTGAGCTTTTAATAAATACGCTCGTACAAAGTTTTCATAGAAGAAAAATTGACTATTGTATGATTGTTGACAGTACAATGGCTTAACTCTCCCATAAATCCCACGATCTATTACGATTTATTGCGCAACTTAACTTGCTTATAAAATGACCCAACGATTTTAATGAAAACTCTTAATTAAATCCTCTGAAACACGGGCTGAGGGCAAGCATTTAGACATTTTCCAAACAATAGTTTCAATTATATGAAACACTAAAACACAAAAACTCTTATAGAATAGTAATGAAAGCAGTGTAGGTGTATGTTAGCAGTGTACTTAAACCCCTACGAAAAAACCTTAAATTTTTAAATGAAATCCAATACGTGGTAAATAATTAGATAAGTCAACGAACCCGACGTTTTTACCTGGCAAAACAGGATCCAAAAAAATCCATACCCCAATAATAAATCCTTTTGTAATGAGTCGTTAGCCCTTTAAACACAACTTGTGTTAATTACGACAGGGAAATAAAAAATATCCTTGAAGGGAACAACAATATCCTACAATTACGTAATTGTCCGGTGTTTGCCGAGTAAAATCTAAGCACTCATAAATTTTATTTTGAAGTTAATAGCGCTACCTGAGAAGCATAAATTATTTTGGATGCTACTTAATTATTTGTAAACTCCCAGGCCGTTTAAATCGGAAACTTCTAAAGCAAATTAATGCGATTTTTAATACGAAAATTACACATTTTAAATGAGCGATGTACATAATCGCGTTATCGGTGTTGTCCA